GACCTGGTAGACACCTAAACTAAAGGTCAGCTATAAAACTCGGCCGTCGCACATTGTCATATATCCTAGAAGTATTACTAAGGCGGACGTTATTCGAGTTGACTGACCTGGTAGAGAGGAAAAAAATCGCGGCAACAATATGATTTTTACGGGATTTCGAAATTCCGGGGGCATTCGGCGAACGTTGTTGCTCACACGGGCTACCACGTGGAACCACGGTGGTGCAAATGTCATGACACAACGACCGGCTGGAGACCGACGACCAGATGATATTTTTACTTAATTATGCGTTTTCGGTGACAGTTATGAACGGTGTCCGCGATTCGACGCAGTCGGATTGCATACGTGATGACGTGACCCGCGGCCGTCACACATTGTCCGCTATCCGACGAAGTCGCATTACTACGGCGAACTTCATTCGAGATGACTGGCCTGCTAGACACCCACAAAAATATGAACAACATCGATGAAGGTGACTGACCTGCTATACCCCAAAACATATTTTTAGGTAAATTATATAGCCGATGACTCGAACCGGTCGTCACGTTGTCTACCTCCAACATCGAGTCGGATTGCCTACAAGGATTATGTAGATGGGTGACCTGCTAGACACCAAAAAATCAGACGGGGGCTATATGATTTGCACGGACGCCCGAAATATTTTGAATTTTCTTCACGTAATTTATTCTATAATTTTGCGTTTTCGGTAACAGTAATGAACGTCGTCCGCGATTCGACGCAGTCGGATTGCATACGTGATGACGTGCCCCAGCTGTCGATTATTGTCGGATTGCCTTCCAGGGGGACTACGACCAAAGTCGAGGAACGTGACTGACCTGCTAGAACCCAAATACTATTACTAAGGCGAAGACATGGCTAGACACCCACAAAAATACAACGACTGTATTATTTTTTTACGAAATTTCGAATTTCCGGCGGCGTTGTCGAAAAGACTCTGTCAAAGACTTTGTCCGCTACTCGACGACCCGGCCGTCCGGATGGCCTGTCCGAGCTACCAAGTCGAACCGCAGTGGTCCTAGCCTTATCATACATGACGTGACGTGACCCGGCCGTCGCACATTGTCCGCTATCCGTCCAAGTCGGATAGCCTACTCCTATTATTATAGCGAATGTCATTCGAGGTGACTGACCTGCTAGACACCAGGGTGACTAAGACCAAAGTCGAGGAAGGTGACTGACCCGCTAGACCCCAAATACTATTACTAAGGCGAACGTCATTAGAGTTGACTAACCTGGTAGAGAGGAAAAAAGTCGAGGCAACAATATGATTTTTTCGGGATTTCGAATTTCCGGGGGCATTCGGCGAACGTTGTCGGCGAACGTTGTTGCTGACATGGGCTACCACGTAGAACCACGTTGATGCAAATCTCATGACACAACGACCGGCTAGAGACCGACGACCAGATGATATTTTTACTTAATTATGCGTTTTCGGTGACAGTTATGAACAGTGTCCGCGATTCGACGCAGTCGGATTGCATACTTGATGACGTGACCCGCGGCCATCACACATTGTCCGCTATCCGACCCCCACAAAAATACGAACAATGTCGAGGAACGCGACTGACCTGCTAGACCCCAAATACTATTACTAAGGCGAAGACATGGCTAGACACCCACAAAAATACAACGACTGTAATACTGTATTATTTTTTTACGAAATTTCGAATTTCCGGCGGCGTTGTCGAAAAGACTGTCAAAGACTTTGTCTGCTACTCGACGACCCGGCCGTCCGGATGGCCTGCCCGAGCTACCAAGTCGAACCGCAGTGGTCCTAGGCACTCCTAGCCTTATCATACATCCTTATCACCATACTTCCTCAGCACCCATACACCGTGTCGGCCGAGACCCATTACCGCACCACGAGACCACCGCTGCTTCCGTAATCGAAAACACTAATGACCCATCATTGGGGGTCTGGGGGTGTCCCCCAGCGACGCTCGGAGAGCTAGTCCTATACTATAAAACGTGAACCCGAGGGCGCTGCTTGTGGAGTAAATCCGAACTGCTTAGTGAACCCGCCAATGAGAAAATTACATTTCTAACCGTGGGCGGTCTCCCGGAGCCGTCGCTGCGTTATCACTCTTTCTTATCACTTTTTGCCATTTTGTTCAAAAATCAAAGAAATTTCGAAAGAAATCGAGTTTTACCCCCCCGGGGGGCCTCGGGCGGCCCCGTTCGGACCTTATTCGCGTTCCTCGGTAGATTTATAGTCGGCGCGCGGCCCTACTTTTTTCCCGGCGGGCCCGCGGCGGCCGATGTCGCGTGCGATACGAGCGCCGCCGTCGCGCGCGTTTTTTGCATTTTTTTTCGAAAATTCGAGTTTTAGGCGTTTTAGGGCGCATCGACCTCCCCGTTTGGATCTTATTCGCGTTCCCCGCTAAATTTAACGTCGAAACGTGGCCCTACTTTTTCAAAAACGAGTGCTCCGGCGGACGATTCGATCGCCGCGTCGTCGACGTATTCGAGTTCCACGCTAAATTTATAGCCGGCTCGCTTACCTACTTTTTCAAAAACGAGTCCCGGGGAGTAGCGGCGTCGCTTAAACGAGAGTAGGTACCGAGCGGGTACCGTGTATGTATCGCTATATACAGGCATAAATAAGTGCGTCTCGAGGTCCGATTTTTTTCGCAAATCTCGCGTTTTATACTTCCGAGGGCGGCGGAGCCGGTCGTCCGCTCGCCGAAGCGGTCGGATCGCCCGCTCAAACGCCCTTTACGGCCTTCTAAACGGCGTTCGCCTTTTGCGAGGACGGCGACGTGGCTTAAGTGTTGTAGATTTGACTCGAATTTCCATCTCGGTAGGATTGTAGGTAGGTTAGGCGTTAGGAGAGGTGACTCGAGGATCGTGGTTTCGAACCCAGCCGCCGACTGAACTGTCAATTTCTTTTTTTGCGTTTTTTTTTTTCGTCACATTTATCATTTTTAACGAGTGTTAATTTTTTTTTTTAATTTGCATTATTATATTATATATATTATTATTATTCGTTTTACGATATTTATTTTGAAAAAAAATAATTATAATTAACATTTACCGACGCACCTACATGTTTCTTTTATTAATACATTATAATACAACTTACTATGCGTTATTATTAATTTTATTATTTTCTATAAATTTGAGTGTTCGATATACAATTACGTACTTTTATTAATAATGCCTAAAAATCAGTACCAGTGTTCAGTGCAGGGATGTAAAGAAAAGTGTAAGTTATTTTATTTATCATTTTATTTCCTTTCTATTATTGTAATGTAGGTATACATATGTAATTATGCGTGTTATGTAATTGTCGTAAATACATTATAGATATTATGACACACCGGTTTCCAAATTTTCGATTACATAAAGCTCGGTTATTAGATTGGATAAGACTAGTTGGATTATCAAATATGAATCCAGAAATAGTGTACAACAAAAAAAGAATTTGTCACTCTCATTTTTCAGATGACTGTTTTAGTCATGGTACAAAGAGGCTTAATGCTAATGCTTATCCTACCTTATTTATGCCTGGTAAGTTATTTATCTTGGTAATTGACTTTGGGTAAATGGTAAATCAATTTATAAAATAAATTGAGTAAACTTATTTAACAGTAAAAGTTCAGATTTCATTAATTATTTGGTACTTATTACTAATATTAAACAAGATAACAAATACCTTAATAGTAAATAATATTACTAACACACTTTTGATATACTTTTTATTATGTATGTTTTATTATAGTGTCTAGTAGTGAGGTTACATATTTTATACATGATGTTCCATCTGAGCACCAGACATTACAACAACTCAGCACACCGACTAACCAACATTTCAATTTGGAAACCTCCTGTAATGGTTTTGATAATGTTTCAAGTATTAAAGTGGATGATCCTCCATCGCTTTGTAGTTCAGGTAATACTACATCATTTTAAATTATATGTCATATGAAAATTTTCCAAAGGCAAGTTCCAAATATCCCAAGTATTAATGCATAATAATGTATTAATATAATATAACTAATTATATTTCAGATCAGTATTGACTACCTACTGAGTATATCATATTACATTTTCTAGGGGACCCGTCGGTTACCACCAACCCCTCTATTTAAGAAAAATCTCAGCTATTGCCACTGAAATTACTGTTCACCACACAACTGGATATAGCATTATGATAACATTGAGTATTTTTGGTTTTTTAGATAATCTTGATGTATCTGGAGTTGAAATTTTGAATTTGGAAAATACTGATACAGAAACTACAATAATTATGAATAATGTCATGAGTAAGTTATTTGTTTCGAGTTGTATGCAAGTATTATTGTTATTTAATTATTCATTTATTTTATTATACTATTATTTATTGCACCAATATTGCTATTCACTGCCTTGGCATGTGATGCTTTAATGCTTTGATTATTTTTTTTGCTTATAAAATAGGTTCTAGTAGTGTAGCTGGAAGCTCAAAAGTTAGTAAAGCTGCTCAAAAAAATGCAAATAATCAATCTGGTATTTTTGCTTATTCGTTTAGTATATTATTTAGGGCACAAAATTTAATAGTGTACCAATTTTTTACATGATTATAAAACTTTCTTGCCTTAATAATAAGTAATAATATTACATCTATAAACTTTAACTAATGTAATCTATTTTAACTTTAGGTCTGTTAAAAAAAGTAGGATTTAGTCGTTGCAAACAACTAACGCCTAATTGCAGAAAATTTTATGGTATTACCAACAAATTAATAAAGCAACTTAAAAAACAAGGAGCCAAAAAACAATTATTTAAGCAGAACTTAAAGGCAGCAGAGCGTATGTCTGAAAAGTATCTTAATGATAACTTTTCGGAGAAAATGACAGCCGCCGCTTCGTTATTTACTAAATTGCAATTAAGAGAAACCAAAAAAAAAAAATAAAGGTCGAAAATTCACTTTAGACGAAAAAATAATGAGTTTATCTTTGTATAAGCGGAGCCCAAAATGCTATCGTATGTTGTCCATCATGTTTGCTCTGCCGAGCCCTAAAACATTACAAAATGTTTTAAGCAGTGTGTCGATAACTACTGGAGTCAGTCCAATAGTTATGAAAGTGCTTAAAGAAAAATCTGAAAAGTTGAAACCACTTGAAAGGTAACCAAAATTACATTTAAATCAACATTTAAATAATAAAATAATTAAACTGTACATTCATATAGATGTTGTTCATTGATGTTTGATGAAGTGTGTCTAAGCAGTGGTTTACATTACAACAAAGCGACAGATCAAATTGATGGGTTTGTTGACAGTGCATCTAACAGAAATCAAGAGTATGCTGATCATGCACTGGTGTTTATGATCCGTGGCATAAAAAAAAAATTCAAGCAACCAGTAGCATATACTTTTTGTCAAGGTGCTACAAAACATGAAAAATTGGCATGTTTATTGAAAGAAGTAAGAATAAAATTAATTATGAAATTCGATACATAAATGTGGGATTATCCGTATCTTATTTGGTATAATATCTCTTATCATAAGTTGTTAGTCAGTGTGAAATGAACCGTGATTGTGATTGTACAGAGTAAGTTAAGTTAGAGTTATAATACACAATTATTTTAATTGTTTTGACATTGTTGTGTTAATGCTTTTGTTTAATCAACCTCAACCCACGTGAAGTTAATACAATATTGTATTAACTTCTGCATAAATATAAAGATATATTTTTGTTTTTAGGTTGTAAGAGAAGTCCACAAGACCGGCTTACAAATAGTAGCGACAATTTCTGACCAAGGACGTTCTAATGAAAGTGCTATAAAACTTCTAATTAATGAGACAAAAGGATTTTTTATCAAGCGCAATGAAAAATATACAGATGATATTTATGAAATACAAGTGGATGAACAAAAAACTATCCAGATTGTTCATATTTTTGATGTCCCACATTTGATAAAATGCATCAGAAATAACCTTTTAACAAAAGATTTAATTTTTTCAATGAATGGGGAGAAAGGTTGTGCAAAGTGGTCCCACATACAAGATCTGTACAATATTGACAGTGCAATACCGGATTGTAAAATGTGTAACGTGCCAACTACTTCAACTCAATATTGATGGTATTTTGAATTAAAATGACAAGTTGTTGGTATAATGATAGTTTATTTGTATTTAATTAACACGAAAAATATTCTAAGTCCAAATAATTAAATTATAAAATAGTGGTAAACGGGTTGTGACTTAGTATCGACTTTGTGGCTGTTCTGCTAGTGCTCGTCGTCTTGGCTGGTGTTCGTCTGATGGACACTTGTCCATCGACGTATTTCGTCGGTTTTCCTATTATATCCCTCCTATGGCATTTTTTAGTATAAAAATGGTACATAGCTGCGTATACCTGACGTCATTTCGGGCGTCCTCTACGAATAATGTTAATTGGGATTATATAATTCTCAAAGTTATCTATTTTGTTGTTTACGGCTTTTTGTCCTTCCCAGAATATGGATAATGCGCGCGTTCTATACTCTTATCGATATGGCCGCCCGGACGTTTATATTATTACTATTATTAGGTTACGTGCCCTCTGCAGCATTTATATCTATTATTGAATATAACATATTATATTATAAGCGCATTATACTCAATACAGCATAATATAATATAATATTTTATATATTATTACTATTATAATATGTACGTAGTCACAGCCCGTTACACCTCCTCGCCCTATCAAAGGTTTTTGTAGGGCTACAATTTGTAGAACTACAAAAATCTTTAAAGGAATTTTACATAAAACATGGATATAAATACATAGTACATAAATTGTTAATAATTGTCATAAAGACAATTTTACATAATTTCTTTTCATGACATAATGATTTTCATTTTACATAATTTCTTTTACAATACATATTTTTCATCACAAAACATAATAATATTTCTTTTATAACAATATAACATATCATAACATTTTTTTTTTTTTTTATATATATATCATAACAGTTTCATTACATAATAATATTTAATATAATATAATATTTTTTCCATTTGATTTTTAAACATAATAACATAGTAATTAGAATTTTGGTTAACACATTATACCTTAATAACTAATACAATAACATACTATATTACTATAGCATTGGATACAATAATATTTTAATGTTAAGTTACATGTTATATATAATTTATTTTTAATGATTACAATTATTTCATAATCTCCAATGGAATTACAGACCAGTATATTGTAATAAGTGCGTGTTTAAATTTATCTTTACATTATTTCAATTAACTACTTTAACCATTTATTATTGATGGCAACTTAACACCTGTATTTACTTTACTTGTACTTGTTACTTCATTACCTTGCATAATATTTTCCTTACTCACGTTTTTATCTTCATTTAACTTACTTTGTATTATAGGGCTTTGTAATGCGTATGATTGTGGGTTATCCCTATTCATTGTTTCATACATTTGTTGCGTATAAAATTTACTCCTATTAATTGGTTCACCTATCGATATTGTCCTCCTAGTATTGGTTCTTTTCAAAACATCAGTATAACGGTATATTACATATAGTATTACTAGTATAATTAACAAAAATAGAATCAATCCTAATAAAACGTACGTCATATAATATTTAGTATCTTCTGCATTTCCACTTTGCCTATCTATTTCTTGGTCTATCATTGACTGGATGTCACTCAATGAATGAGCTAACTCATGTACATTATCTAATTTTAATAAATCATGTTTTTGTGTATACTTTGGTATTGTTATTGCATCGAGTTGTGGGATTTTTAATGTCAAACTTCCTATACCTAATTTGGGAATGAAATTTATATAATATTTTGACTTGACTTCTCTGGTGGGATTTAAGACTATATCATTGGCATAAGCTCTACATTCCTGTTTTAGATTAATTAACCCTTGATTTTGTAACTTCACTATGTAAGGTTCTTGTTCACCTTGACACGTTATGGTCAATGTGTCACTAGTAGTAGTGTAAATCCATGTGTTGGCATATTTCAATTTATGATAAATATTTTTAGTAATTACTATAATTCCTGCCTCACAGTTACTAGGTAACTCATCCGGATTTTTGAATAACGAGACTTCACACGGTTGTCTAACCGATTCATGTTGTACGGGTTGAAACTCTGGACATATGATAAAAATCTCAGTTTCTGTACAGCTCAACAATTGAGTTTTAGTGAATGTTGTGAACTGTTTCCTATTTCTGGTTATTCCTACATACTGGAATTCGGGTTTTAATATTACACTATGATGTGAATCAAATTTATGTGGAATAGGTATTATTTTGAACAGTGTTAATTCTAATTCGATTACTAGTGGAATTTTTATTAGAAAAACAATTTGGTTCCTATACTATAGTACACGGCCATTTTAGTTATTTTACTTAATTCATAAATTTCATTTGGTTTTGATCCCATAGGCAAATTTAGATTAACAGGTAAATTTAATTTGATTTGAGTTAGCTGTTTAGCCAGTTCCCTAGGGGTTACTAGACTTGGGTGTAATATTCCTGTTCTGGCGGCTGTTATTATGGCACTTATAGTCGTGGTTTCGTATGAAAATTGTGTGATTAATGCAGTGAAAATGTTATGTATTCTGTCACTGAGCATCATTGTTTCGATAGTGTATGTGTGATTTTCTGCTGTTTTTAGTTTCTTATAGATTTCGCCCTGTTTGGTTACTAGTTCCTCATATAATGTATTCATTTCAGTGGATGTGTTTCCTATTCCTTGTACTACCGATTTGACTACAGTGGTTTGACTCTTTAAGATATGTAACATATTTTCATTGCTGGTTTCAATTTTTTCAATATTATTATTAGTTTCTTTGGTACAATCATCGTCGCATACTCCAAATAATGTTTTCATAGCACTACCTATAATGTTTATCAGCCCCCTTCTATTCCTATCAACCGTGGACATTTTATTATCAGATCCTACGTATCTACCAATAGATTCATACATTTGTTCTCGTTGCGTCGCTATTTCTTTAAACGTGGTTTTTACTACATGTGCAAATCTTGTGCACACTTCATATTCAGATATTGTATCCTTACAGTTATGTGACATATTACTAATTTCATTGAATAATTGATCATATCGTTTGTCATAATTAATTAAAGGTACATAAGTTACAAGTTCCCAATGTGCTCCTACAATCCGTAACTCGCCCTGATTTTCGAAAAATATAGCTGTCTCATTCTTAAATTCTTCATTTAAATACGGAAGTTGCCCTTGAATGGTAGAAATGCATAACAACCTACATAAGAAATAATTCAAATTCATCATAACAATTTATTGTTATGGTTTCCTACAATATTATATTAACTGTTCGTTACTTTCCGTTTTCATGTCTTTGATTACAGTTTTACTAAAGGTCATGTAACCATGTTCATGTCAACATCTATGTAATTAACAACGATAGTAATTTGTAATATCTATAACTAATTTATGTATAATTATATTCCCCAATAATCTATGTTTTATTTAATTCAACACTCTATCTAAGAAATTACTTGTACATATGGTGAGTACAACCTTATCTATTCTTATGATTAATTTCTAGATCTATGCTTAATAAGATCCTATGTTGACTACGATAATTCGTCCAGTACGGTATCCATTTTTGCGTCACATAGCTACAGTTACTAAGGGTCGTGTAACCATGTTTCACAATAACTTCAAGTACTGGAGATTTTTGAAATATATTTTTTTTTTTATACTTGTGTTTCCGCTAGGTCTATATCATCATATGATTTATATGAAGTAAGATTTATTGTATTTAAATAATTAAATCTATTTCTTTCTACCAATTTATAATACCGTGCTATGCTAATTGCTGATATAATCATGACTAATATTACTATTCCCATTATAATACTTAATATATATATATTTTTTGATTCTAACCCGTTTCTATTAGTTGGTTCATTGCATACCATAAAATAACCAAAATATAAAATTAATAAATTCCAAATTTAAACCAATTAACGCTTTAACCCAACCGAATTAAATATCTTATTGAATATCTTATTATTTATTATTAACGAATTATTAGCTACATCAATTATTGCCTTATTTTCCCTTAAAAATTGTTGTCCTAAAATACCATCCCTAGGTATAGGAAACGAATCACGTACTACTTGAAATACCGTTTCAATATTAACTTCATTAAATCTTAAAATTATCTTAATTTGTCCTACTGTCGACACTATCTTATCATTAATTCCCTTTAAATATATTTTTTTTTTTTTTTTTTTTTTTTTTTTTTTTTTTTTTTGTTTACTAGTGTGTCACCTGTCAAAGCACTAATTTTTATTAAGTTAACATCACTTCCAGTATCTACCAGCAATTCTATAAATTCTTTTCTTATATTAACAGACTGGCAAGTGACATGATTGTTGTTTAAGACTGATACGACGTGTAGGCATTGTCGGAATCTTCCTCGACCGCGGCTATTAAATTTATCGGGCGAGTGCCACTCATATCGCCCGATCTCGGCAAGTTTTCCGAATTATTGTTGTACCTATCGTTATTCGGTTTCCTAAAACACTTGGTAACGTCATGTCCAGATTTTTTACAATACGTGCATATAACGTCTACCTGAGCGTTGTAATTAGTAGGCTGTCGCGTGAAATTATTGTTAGATGGACGTGAATTGTTACTATTACGATGCTGTACACAATCCCGGGCAAAATGATTGCCTCCGCATTGATAACATCGTATGTTACCTATTGCATTGTTATTATTCCGATAATTACTACCACGATTATATTCATTGCTGCGATTAAAATTATTATTGTTGCGAGGCTGGTATTGATTATTATTGAAACTGTTTCTATTATCAGGTCTATTAAAATTCGGATTTCGATTGTACTGTGGTCTAATATAATTCGAATCTCTAGGATTGTAAATTTGTCTCTGTGAATTGTTATTATTATGATTCGGTCTATTATTAGTGGATGAATTATAACGATTATTAAAATTATTATTCCGCCTATTAGAATTATTGGTTTCCCTGGTGGAGTTGTTTACTTGTCTACCTGAACTATTGCCTCCATAATATTGGTATGCATCTGACTC